TATATATATATATATATATATGAAGAGTTCATTTTCATAAACAGATAACTCTGTAAATAAAAATCATGTTTTTTTTCTATCCTGCATTCTAATTAATATCAATCAAACTGCAGTTGGGTTGTTTTGATTAAATAATAATAACTAAAACAATTCAGCTAACTAACACAATAAAACACAATAAAAACATGATAACACAATAAAGAACATGATTTATGAAAATTAATAAAAACTGAGTTATCTATTTTTGCAAATAAACTATTTATAAATATACACATATACATATATATATATATATATATATATATACACACACACACACACACACATTTCAAATACAATTTTAATTTCAAATTTTATTTGAACATTTGTTAAAATATTATAATTATTAAACTATCATTTTAAATAATACATTATGTTATTAATATATTTTTAAAATATCTAAAATGCTTTATTAATTTAATAAAAAATTTATTAAAATAGAAACTTAAATAATTATTGAATTCAATAATATATATTCAATATATTGATTAATATATTCAATGTATTATGTATTCAGTGTATTTAAAAATAATAAAATTAAATTAAAACATGTTATTAAAAATTATTTAATTATTAAATGATAATATGCATTTAATAAGAAATCTGAATATATTTTAATATTATAAAATGTCTTAAAACATTATTAATAATTTTAAAAAATTTACAGTAAAATTCGCCATATATAATTACTAAAAATCATTTAGTTAATAATAACTATCATTACAGTTACACAATGTCACAATGTTTTGTGATCTCAAAGTTTGCACATTTTTTTCATCTTTATTTTAGAGCTATCCATTAGGGCTGCTACACATTTTAAAAAGAGTTATTTACTTGCTAAAAAAAATAAATCTGTAAATCTTTTTTAACTTTAGGTAAAAAAAAAAAAAAAGTCTGTCTCAAGCTAATATCCATAGTCTCAGTGCATGAACATATACGATACATACTTTTCTCCCAGTGAATGCTGCTTTATGGAGAGGCGTATCTCCGACATTATTTGGCAAATTGGCATCTGCTCCAGCCTGTAAGAAGCACAGAGGAGCTCAAACTAGACACTAATATACTGAGCACAAATTCTACTTATAAACATACCCATGTACACATACTGTATACGAGAATATAAAAGGCTGAGATGATCGATACCTTCAGTAAGGCCTCAACAACATCCTTGTGTCCAAAGTAGCAGGCCAGATGAAGAGGAGTCCAGCCATGATTAGATTTGCTCTTGCCTGACACAACGTAATGCTGTTAGTTACTCCAATATGTCTAGAAACATACGAATGGTCAAAAGAAACCTAATGACGTGTTCTACCCTTGCAGTTGATGTCGATTTCGGCCTCCTCCTTTATCTTGGACATCAAAAGCTTCTGGATCCCTTCTAGGTTCCCGTTCCTGGCGTCCCTGAGGAAGTGCTCCTCTGGATCCAGCTCCTCCATCACTTCACCAACAAAACACAAAAAGCATTACAAACCAAAAATCAGAGCCCTGAGTAACAGAGTAAGTGCAGTGTATCTAAAAGGCATTAAGTCTTCCAGGAAACATATGAAGGCGAATTCTTTGAAACATTTGCCATGTGATTTCCTTGTTTAGACTGGAGGAAAAGTATGAGCGTCACATGACTCTTCTTTGATACGCATTCATTTTCATTTAAAAGCCATAAACAGAGCAGAACCAACCGTTTAGTGACATAATCAGAAATACCTTTATAATAAAGGTCTTGTGAAAAAGCACCAAAGAAAACCTGACAATATAAATCCTTAACCCTATATAGCCTAGTGTATCTTTACTTTTCTTGTGAAAAAGCACCAAAGAAAACCTGACAATATAATAAATCCTTAACAGGTTAACCCTATGTTAGGAAACACTCTCTGTCTTTCTGTTGAGTCCAGACAGGTCTTACCCCTCCTTTTTCTCCCTCTCTCAGTCTTATATATACAACGCATTCTTTCTGAATCCCTCCTTCTGTATCCATCTCTCTCTCCTGATATTATGTTTTAAATATGTCTTACTTATATGCGAAGTATGCATGCTTAAATGTATACATTAGCTTCTCTTGGTTTAAAGGCCCCAATAAAGACATGAATGTTAGGACTACAAGGGTAAAGGAGTTCGTGATGAAACCATGAAGACAGTTCAGCATTCTTCGCAAAAGTCTATACCTAATATGTGCATGTTCTTAAGTACATGTGGCTATTTTATATAAACACATGTTCTTGGCCAAAGATCCTATGTGTATGTTATTCATATCCTCATTGGTTAAGAGGATGAAACTCCCCTCGACATATGCCTATATAATATCTGTATTTCTATGAATAAATTGAAGTATTGAGGATAAATTTGACTGTGTGTTTTCTTACTTCCCGGCCGTATTTACACTTTAAAGGAGACTGAGAAAAGGTCACGGTGGCAAAGAGAATTTACAAAGGGACCAAATTGTTATTCTTTATTAACACCCTATATAGCCTAGTGTATCATATTTGATAAGTTATGCCTACATGCCTTCTGTAAACTTATATACTGTTAACAATATTTCAAGATGAACACTCGCTGGACTGAAGCAACTTAGGTTTACCTGATTATCCATACATCATTATTTTTTAGAAAAATCATGTTAAAATGTGAGTTTCGAATATGATACATCATGTTTTTGAGAAAGATTTCATCTCTCAGTCATCTTTGTATTGCACTGAATTATGTGTTTCCCCTCACAATAAAACCTGACAGAGCTTTGATCATAAAACTAAGCATTTAAATATCATGAAATATATACTGACAACTGATATTTATTTGTGTTTTAGTGGTCAAACGATTAATCGCGATTAACAGCATCCAAAATAAACGTTTTTGTTTACATATGTGTATACTGTGTATATTTATTATGTATATATGCATGTATGTATTCAAGAAAAATGTTATATTTGTATATTAAATTGATTTATATATAATATCAATTATATAAATATATACATGTAAATATTTTCTAAATATATACTGCATGTGTGTGTTTATATATACATAATAAATATACACAGAACACGCATATATTAAGTAAACAAAAACTTCGATTTTGGATGCGATTAATCGCGATTAATCGTTTGACAGCACTAGATGTAAGTAGTCCGTTATAAATATCTCATTGATTTACATTAGCTATCAGAATTCCGTCGTAACATTTTGGCCATTTACAGCAAATTGAATATCTTTCCTCTGAGTTTAGATGTTTTTTTCTCCCTCAAGTATGAGCTCCACATCCTCATAGTAGGCTATAGGCTACGATATGAGCCATAAAAGCCTATGAAAGATACTCAACGAAAACACATATGAAAACGATTTCTTTTTAGATTTTGTCTTAAGGTTTAATAAACTGTTCCACTTAAAAAAATTAAAAAAATAACAGGGTTTACTTTACAGGGTTAATATTATGTCGGCCTCTGAAGCAACAAAGCAGGAAAAATGTCTTGGTACGCAGATTAACAACGCCACTTACGCAATAACCGTTTGGTGGAATGTAGGTCAGTAAATTACGCTAAAAAACGTGTAATATATACGTTTAAGAGTCGAACTAGGTCTAAACCACAAGTGAACTGAATAAAAAAGGTTAAAAATCATGCGCATGAGTGTTTCCCAGACCAACTGAATGCATCAAATTCCAAAAGCTGAGCGAACGGTCAATCATCTCCTGGAAAGAACTAGTTACACTACAAACTTATGAAATTGCCTATAACGGTTGTAAATAAATAGCTTGAGGGAGCTCGGGGACGATAAACTCGTAGCGTATAGCAGTAAAGTCGACTGTGTACTGTCGTGTGACTTTCTGGACTTCTTAAGACACAAACTTGTCAGCATATCATCACCAGGATTGTTCAACTTGATCAACCTGTCTTCATCTGAGTGCTTCATACCTTTTGGAGTAACTTTATGGGAACTGACACTTAAAACGATAAAACTAGCTAACCAGTCTGAAAGGTATGGAAGATAGTTTCTATACACTGGATCTTTCGGTTTATTTACACGATGCGAATATTGGAGACATGCATCAGGATGTGGGTTTACCACTTAATTAGGTGAGATGTGGTCATGAGCTGCAGTCAAAAATAAAATATGCAAACAGAAATACCAAAAATATATAAAATCCAAATAAATTATATAACTCCCTGTTATATATAGCCTAATATATATCATATATAAATTAGGACATATCTCTTTAATAAATGCTCAAATCCAGACGCACCGCTGCAAACATAGCTTATATATTAAAAAACTCAAATGGAAATATATTTGCATAAGTTCTCATTTAAAAAAGAAGAAACATAAAGAAGACTTGCCTGTTTTTAAAAGTTAAAGCAAGACTTCGAGACACGCTACCATCCTTGATCGAGAGATACTCCGCGATAAAAACGTAAATGCATTAATTAAAAAGAAAAAAGACTTCCATAAATTGTGCTTTATCATAGATTTGACAGAGCATGTGATGCCCGCTTCCTGTTTGTGAAACTCACACATGTGAGTCTTTGCTAATAGTGCAAAGTTCTTCACAAGCATCTTTCAGCAAACATCTTACAATCTGTTGTGCAACTCCATACAGATTGTGCGCGTGAAGTCAACGCAAACACAAACTAACATCATACGGCAATATGTAAATAAACAGCTGACTGACAACACGCATGAGGACGATGCACTTCCGGTTTTGTTGACGGTAAACAGCTACGATAAAAGTGTTCTAATACTACTACTACTATTAATAATAATAACAGTTTTAAGAAAAGTTAACGATTATACGGACAAACAAACAAACAAATAAATAAATAAAATGTATGCGTTATTTATTTATTTTTCTCAGCTCTCTGTTGTTTATGGCTCTTATTTTGAAATGGCTTGCGGAAGTGAGTTAGTGTCAGTATGGAGGGGTCCTCAGCAGACGGCGTGTTAGCGCCTTTACCTGGACGATGTGCTTTTTATGTAGCAAAAAAGAAACGATACTGCAAGATGATCGTTGGAAGTGGGAAAAACTTCTGCGGGGAACATGCAAATGCTGTATGTGAATGAAAATACGTTATAATGTCAATGTTGTGCTTCTCTGAATGGATGCACGCACTACTACTTACCTTACTCCTATTCATATTAGTTTATTAATAAGTTACTGTTTGCTCGAACTTTGATATCATTTCCATGTAGGGTGAAGAGAGTGAGAAAAAACGAATACCCTGTCCTTTGGACCCCAAACAGTAAGATGTTCACTCTTCTAATAAGAAAGTTTTCGTAGTGTTTAAAAATGAAGTAGTTCAGTCCAAACTGAATCCAAAGAAATTATTCCAGAGTTTCAGATTCATGCAGATAGAAATGTTATATCTGGCTTGAATATTTCTTAATAAATGAATTAATATGATAATTGACAAATCTGGAAGTGAATTAATGAATTATGACTGGTGTCAAATAGATTTTTAGCTACATCAGTTAAATTGCCTCAGTCAGATAGAAAATGCTACTCTTAACAACATAGCCATATTTTGCATTTTAAAGACTTGACATAAATATATGTAATTATTTTACATTAAAGACATATTCGGAACCTAAAAATGTGTATTTTAAAATTAAACTCTGTATCCTTCTGTCATATAGTCAACATGAAATATTAAGGTACAGTCTGAGGTGGTTTTAAGTGTCATGTAATTCAAAAAAAAGTAATAAAGAGAAATCAAATGAATTGTACATTTGTGTTAAGAACATTAGTGATCATCTCTGGTTAAAAGTTACATTTTGATTGTTCCCAAAAGAGTTTTGTCCCATGTCTCGGTGGCAGACTTTGAACTTTTATGTTGTTATATTTAAAAATCTTCTCTTCTGTTTTAAACAGCACTGTATTTGAAGATAATTTGGCTAAACACCTGAAGAAATGTAACTCTAAGGAGAAACCAAAACCTGTATGTACAAATAACTCCATTTACCCTTATTTTTTGAGTGATGTCTTTCTACATTTAAAAAACCCATGTGGTATAACGCAATGCTTGTTGTGTAAAAGACACTGCTATGTTTGATTTGTTTATATCAGATTTATTATGTGAAAGACATCAATGCTGGTTCTGCAAGTGAAGATGAAACCATAGAGGAGGTGATCGTATTGCTTATGAGAGCATGTGTATCTAAATTTCATGGCTTTAAAGAATAGATATGTGCTTAATAATGATGCATCAATGTAGATAACCATCGCTGAACGATCTAAAGAGGAACTGGATGAGCTGATTGTAAAACTCAAAACTGCACTGACAGGTATGCAACTGTCACTTGAGTTTTATCACATGACTTAAATCAGGTTATATCATCTTTCTATGTAATTATTAATGGATTCGTACATGTTTGCCTGTTCCCTCAGGACTAAATACCAAACTTGTTGAAAACACACTCTCACATTCTGCTCTTTATGAGCCTCTAAATGACCCAAAGAATGGAGATTCTGCCTTTAAACACCTCAAGCAACAGGTAAATTACTCTAAAACTGCCAAACCACACATACTATATAAAAAGTCTTTGTTTATCCTTATTTTCAAGAAATGTTACCCGGTTTCACAGGCCTCGATTCTTGGAAACATGGAGGTTTTGGAACTGCTCAGCCCAAACAGATGCTACATAGAGTTTGGAGCAGGGAAGGGAAAACTGTCCCACTGGATTCACATCGCTCTTAAAGCAGCTGAAAATGTCAATTTTTTACTTGTGGAAAGGTCCAGTACTCGCTTTAAGGTGTGGTGTCATTCACATGAAGCTATTCTTTCCTCAAGTACAGGAAAAAATATTGTTCTTTCTACTGGAAAGTAAGGTTAAATTTCAATTTCATGTCTTTTTAAGGTAGATGGCAAGCACAAAAATGCAGGCTCAACTTTTGATAGGCTTCAGGTTGATATTCAGCACCTTGATTTACGTGAGTTAGCTTCTTAAACTAGTCCTAATTATCTTAATCTTAAACTTCATCTTCTCATAAATAAGATTTCTTTTTTGTACCTTTCAGGGAATGTCCCTCTTCTGAGAGAAAAAGGACTTCCTGTTATTGGTGTTGGGAAGCACCTGTGTGGTGCAGCAACTGGTAGACAAGATTTCAATAAACATCATTACGGTATCAGTACTACAAGATTGAGTTTTGTCAACTTGTCTCCACAGATCTGGCCCTTCGGTGTTTATTTGAGCACAGCTGCTTCGACGAAGATGATGAACCTCCAACCAAGCGTGTAAAACTCCATCAGAATGAGGGTGCTTGTGATGATATTAAGCCTGTTCCCTCAACCGAAGGCAGGGAAACTGGTAAAAAGCTCATAGTGTCAGGACTGGCTATCGCTCTTTGCTGCCACCACCGTTGCGACTGGAGACACTATGTGGGAAAAGAGTTCTTCAGGCAGAAAGGTCTTGGACCGGAAGAGTTTGCTGCCTTTCAGCGCATGTCGAGCTGGGCCACATGTGGGATGAGAAAATTTGGCTCCAAGATAACAGAAAAACCAAGCGAACATAAAAGAGATGAAGAGGAAGAACATGAGATGAGCGAGGAAGCTTTACCAGATACCCTCAACGGGTGAGTTTTCTGGTGATCGACCGATTCAAACTGCATTAAAATCATGATCTCATTTGCAAAAATTTTTCTTGCAGTTTGATGTCAGTTGAAGATCGGGAACAGATCGGACGGCTTTGTAAACGTCTGATTGACCACGGCAGATTGTATTACCTCCAGCAAAAAGGCTTTAAAACCAGCCTGAAATACTACACAAGCAGAGACGTTTCATTGGAGAATGTGTTACTAACTGCCATTCCCACAGCCAATTAGAATAGAAATATCAACAGCCTTTTTAAAACAAACAAACAAACAAGCACAAGTGTAGGACACATATGCTTCATTTTATTTCATCAGTGTTTATAGATTTTTGATTTTTGCTCATCCACAAACATTAGTTACGACATACTAGCAGGAAGCAGCAACTCCAACAAACAGCATAAAAGACAAGACATTTAAGAGACGAGAAGTGCTCTTCATAGAACTTGAACCGGAAGATCAAGCCTGAAGGCGGACGAGCAGACAGAAGCCAGCATGCAAATTACAAAGATGATGCTGTCTCTGACACGCCATCCAACGTCACATTTAGCACTGATGTGAAAGTTTGGGATCCTGCAAGAAACATTTAACGCAGAAGTTGGTCGTTAAGAGGCTTTCAAGGCTTTAATTTCTTGTCTGTTTTATTTATGCAACATTTTATGATAAAGTTCTGCTAACAGTTTTGCACGCAATACATATTGAGTACGGCATAACCTCTTTTCCGGGCCTCTTGGATGTAGAAGTGCATGAAGTCACGACCAAACATCTCCCTGTCATTCTCTTCTTCATCTACATCCTCTTTTAAATCAGGAAGCATCACATCATATGTCAAAGGATTGTCTCGGAAATTCACAAACCTGCAGAATGAGCATTTTAAGCTTAGTAATTGTAATAATTTGTCAAATGCGCAAGTATGCGGTCACAAATGCTTTACTGGTGTTTTGCCACTCAGTCCAAGAAGTAATTGCATTCCCATACTTGCATGAAATAGGTTTCAGGCTTTCCTATAGAATCACTGTTTTGCTTTAAGCTTTTTATTGGTCCCCAATGAAGTTCTACCAATTGAACACAGTACTTTGGTGCTTACCTGAGGTTACTCATGCCCTCCATAAGTGGAGGAATGTCTCGTAGTTTATTTTTGCTCAGAACTAGTGTGTCCAGACTTTGCATGCGACTGATATTGTCTGGCAGGTACTCTAGTTCATTTCTTGGGAGCCACAGGGTGTGAAGTTTCTCCATTCTAGATTAAATTGGGACATAAAGTTCATAGGATTTATTACAAAATCTTGTTTCTATTAGTAGTACATTGAAAGTAAAAATTATCCGAAGTTGCTTGTAGTTTATTTTTTACCTGTGAATATCTTCTGGCAAACTTTCCAACCTGTTGCTGCCCATGTCTAGCCACTCTAGAGAAGGAAGGTTGACCACACAATCTGGAATGGTGGTGAATTGGTTCATGGAGAGGTCCAAGTGATACAGCTTCTTTAGATTGCTAAGCTAAGGGAATTAGATCAAAGCAAGCACAGGTGGTAGGTATATATAGGTACAAAATATGACATGTATATATATATATATATATATATATATATACACACGTGTTCGATGTTATTGATACCTGAGTAGGCAGCTCATCCAGATCTTCGTTCATTGCAAGTTCCAGTTTCTCCAGATTTTCACAACAGCCAAGATCTTCTGGTACATGGCTTACTCGTTGACCACACAATCTGGAATGGTGGTGAATTGGTTCATGGAGAGGTCCAAGTGATACAGCTTCTTTAGATTGCTAAGCTAAGGGAATTAGATCAAAGCAAGCACAGGTGGTAGGTATATATAGGTACAAAATATGACATGTATATATATATATATATATATATATATACACACGTGTTCGATGTTATTGATACCTGAGTAGGCAGCTCATCCAGATCTTCGTTCATTGCAAGTTCCAGTTTCTCCAGATTTTCACAACAGCCAAGTTCTTCTGGTACATGGCTTACTCTGTTATAGCTCAACAACAGCTCTCGTAACCGAGTTAGTTTGCCTGTTATTTAGAAGAGCGTATCAGAGTTACTTCAGCGAAAGAAAGTCAAAGTTTGTACAGGTGACACCCATTTTTTTTACTGACCAATCTCTTTGGGAATCTCTGTGACTGAATTACGAGACAAGTCCAAGACTATGAGGCTTTCAAAGCTTGAGATGAACTGTGGGATTTTTTGAAGTCCTATTCGGTGTAACTGCCATTCTTGGATTTGTGAGAGTTGGACCAAATCTGGAGGAAGAGTCTGCAAAAAGAGTGGACCTCCATTAAACACACTTGAACCACTTAAGGTCTTCAAAATAGGTCTGGTCGACTTGAAGCTGTGCTTCACAGACTGATTTGTTTATGACATCAAAGTAGCACAAGAGTGATTCGAAAGCAAGGAGCCATCTGCTCTCATGGTACTTTGATGTCCTACACTGATCGGTGTGTGTAGCGCTGCTTCAAGTTAAACACACTTTAAATACCCAGGCAGGTGTGTTGGGGTAGGTTGAAGCTAAACTTTGCAGGAACCCCAGAAGCAGGATTGGACGCCTTTGCTGTAAGTCCTGCCCCAAACCATATCGTTAGCCCAAGGGGGTCCAGTCCTGTTCCTGGAAAGTCAGTGTCCTGCAGAGCTTCAACCCTAGTTAAACACACCTGATACAACTAGTCAAGGTCTTCAGGAGGGAAATTCTGCGGGAATGTGGCCCTCCAGGAGAAGGATTTAACATCTGCCAAGTGTAGGTCACTTGGGCACAAGTCCATTCACCACCCCTTTAGGACAAGACCTATTTGTATTAACAAATCAATCATGCACCTTCCTCTCTAGTTGACAGAATTTTTTTTAAATTCTAATTTGAAAGTAGCAACAAATTCACAAAGTACAAGTCACAAAATGCTTTACCTTCCACTCCTCTTTTTCAATCCGCAGAATGACACGTCCTTCCTCCGTCACAACTTTTTCCTTTAGCTTGGCCAAAGTGATACGATCCTCCCAGGCACCTGTCAACCTACGCCAAAGAGTTTGAACTATTCAGTATCACAGGATAGACAAAAGCATAGTCTGTGCAGTGGTTCTCAACTGGTTATTCTTCAGAGTCTAGATTTTACATTTGACATCAAGTGATGACCCAATGTGGTACCAAACCCGTAAGTCACATTTGATGTAGTATGGTTTGTATCTTCTTTTACCATGCATAGTTTAGTTCTTGGTTTTCAAGAGATGAGGTCATGTCAAACAACTTTCCATGTTGTCAAATTTGACTACCTTCTACCAAGTAACTGATGTGTGGACACTTGAACATTGATGTTGAAAAATATTTTGTTATCCTAACTATTCATGAATTTATGGTTAGTGTGGTCACACTTTATTTTAAGGTCCGATTCTCGCTATTAACAAACCATTAACTACAACTTTTGCCTCAAACGCCTAATTTGCTGCTTATTAATAGTTAACTAGGCAGTTGTTAAGTTTAGGCATTGGGTTTGATTAGGGATTTAGAATATGTGCTTTATAAGTACTAAGAAACAGCCAATATGTTAATAATAGGCATTCTAATAAGCAACTAGTTAATAGTGAGAATTGGTCACAATATTAAAGTGTTACCTTTGGTATTTGCACTTAGAAACCGGCAACCCTTTTTAGGTCACGACCCACCAGTTGAGAACCATTGCTTTAAAATAAGTCATTATATGCTTCCCATGGTATACATGACAGTAATGGACGTACCTACCCACTGCTCTCCTGTCTCTCTGCTCTCTCTCTTTCTTAAGTTCATCTTTGCTTTTCTTTATCCTGGTTTCCCACAGAGACTTGATAGAGTTCACTGTCCCACAGCATACCGTGACCCCCGTCATGATGATACAGAACCCCAAATACACACACAGTATGCTAGGGAAGCAGATAAGCCATTTTACCGGCCAAGAAAATGCATGCACTTCTTGTTGTTTTGGTTTGATATGATAGAGCATATTTGAATTAGTACTATGTATATAATAAACTGTGAGAAAGTTTGAATTAGCTTGTGCTTACCACTCTCATTGGGTCATATTGTCCTTCCAGCACCATATTTTGGACCATATTTTTACATGGTTGGCTCCCATTTGATATGGAGACGATAGTCACCAATGCTGCACCAATGGTATAATTCTTCTGACAATTTCAATAAGTGTGATCTATGTCGAAAGAATAGGCTTTGAAGTAATGATCCGCTCAGTGTTTGTTACAGGGTTTCCCTCTTGAAGCATAACTCCGGCCAGTGTCTATATTTAACCCGAGACAACACTGAATAGTGTGGTCACATGTTAAAGTTGGCACAAGAGCAGCTGTCCACTTTTGCATACTTTACCACACCAGACATGCATTTAAGAATAGAGCGACATAACCTGATTAACAAAGATGCCTAGGACCATTTCAAAACATTGATGTTAGATATATATTTGTAAATTGTGGCTGCTGCTCTAGTAGAACGTTTTTAATGTTATACACTGAAATAAAAAAATGGTGTACAGACAATTTTCACTCGGAAGTTGCTAGTAAATTTGACAATTAGAAACAGAAACAGCAAGTAACAACGAATTAAACATGAAACTCTGAAGCAGAGAAAGACTGAAATAGTATTTTAATGTAAAACATACTCCAATATCTAATCTTTAATTAAAACCTTTTTTTTGACATTTAAAATGTTCACATTTTCCAGAGTATTTACTACAACTATACATATGCATAGCTTACTTTACACTTCAATTCCAGTTGATCAGTTACGTAGTTGATCAGTTACACTACTCTTTATACACTGCAAACAAGATGCAAACAGCAAATAAGGATCTGTTTTTATAGATATATTCAGTGAACGTGTCTGAACTTGGACTCCAGATGGCTCTACTGGAGCAGTTCACCACCGAGTCCTTCAGCTGCCCGATGGCCACATAACAGACCAGCTTATATCGATCGTTCAGCAGCTTCTTTACAGCCGTCTTAATGCAGTCAGACAGTTCCTTGGAGATGTCTGAGCATGAGTGGCTGTACTCGACAGTCTCCAGTCTTTCATCAACAATGTGTTTGATTATTTCGTGAGCTCGGTCAGTGGAGAAGCGTCTTTCTGGGATGGTCTGGTAGTGGATGAGCTGCTCGTCTCTGTTTGATGGGAACTTCTGGCCTCTTGGTTCCTTCTTAGTTGTCCAGGTTGAGGTGCATCTCCTCGGGATGGGGATCTGTGATGATGTCCTGCTCTTTCTTTGAGGGTCTTCCTTGGACATTTTCCATCTTATGGGGCTTTTGCTTTTCTCCTGTGGTCTTCTCCACTGTTTCTCCTCTTTCTTATGTGAATAGATAATTGAATTTGTTACAGTCATTTGACAAATTAAAAAGTCAGTATATTATGAATTATGAATTAGCTTTCTTCTCTTTCCCTCATGGTCACCATTTATTTGATCAGGAATACAGTAAAAACAAAAAAAATATTTTACTGTAAAGATGAAAAATTGTGCTGCTTAATATTTTTGTGGAAACCTTGATACATTTTTCAGGATTCTTCGATAAATAGAAAGTTAAAATGAACAGCATTTATTTGAAATAGAAATACTTTGTAACATTATATAAATGTATTTACTGTCACTTTTGATCAATTTATTGTGTTCTGAATAAAAGTATGTTAAAAAATAAAAACTTGCTGACCCCAATGCATATTAATTACAGATCTAATAGGTTTTTATTGGTTAATTTGATTGATTTTACAAAATAAAAGACTGGATGAAGTCAGATTCTGTTCATTAAAAAAAAAATAATAATGTTAAATCATATCTGCTATCGTATCTACTAATATTGTTTGTTTAAAATCAATTAACTCAGATTAAATCATGGTTTTTCTCATTCAGTTGTACCAAATATTACACCATACATTTATAGTTACATTGAAGTTACTTTACGTTTAAACAATTTAAGTGGGCATAGTTTTATAAGAAATCTATAATCCTGATGTCAGATTGTTCTGTTAATAAAAAATAAATACATTCAAAACATTTAATTTGCCAGCATTTATTGTCTTATATAATATTTTCAATCCATCTATTCAGATTAAATCAATGTTTTTCTACTTATTCATTTGCACCAAACTTTAAACCATATATTTATGGTGTAATGTTACATTTATTTGATCACTTTTAGTCTTACAGTAAACCTCGAACACAATTAATCCTGTTTCAGTCAAACATTTTTGAGGCATCTAAGAAAGTCTTACCTGCATGTTCTTTCTGTAACAGATGCTTATCTAAACCGCTTTTAGTTTGTGCCGAAGGGATGGAGGCACCAGGCTTTAAAATCGAAGCGGAGAATGAGACACAAGCTCCACCCCCCACTGAAGCTCTGTTTGACTTGTCTAAGGATCATAAATCTTATAAGATTTACCAGCTGTGCTCATTCCGGCTCCTGGAGTTCAACTGTGTTTTGAGATGGAATAGTAACACTGCTTACTGTGGAATATTATCATTTAAAGAGCAGTCTGCAAGCGGTTCCTCAAATGTATCATTTATTAAAACACTTTCCTTCGTAATTCACACACTCACGCAACAATCTCTCAAGGAAACTCCCATTATTCATGAGTGGCAGAACATTATGCTCCAACAAGAATCATCACACCAGAGAAGATGAGAGGATGCATCAGTACAGATTCCCCACAGCCAGTTTGAATCACATATATTTCCATTGTGCTTTAAAAACGCTCGACTGGAAAGAAAAGCAGCACTGAAAAAAAAAAGAAAATAAATTATATTTTGCTTCAAGAAAGTAATATTTTTTAGGAATAGCAATATTTGAAAAAGTCACAGTAATAATAATAATATTAATAATAATAATAATAATTCTACAAAATATAATTTCTTTTTTATTATTATTTTTTCGGGTGACATTTTCATGAGATGAACCCAGATTATTTTTAAATGTTATCCACTAACAAATATCACTTTTAAAAACCCTTGTGCAATGCCATTGGAGATTTTACAGTATGTGGAAAGTTAATTTACAAAAACATCACGGGTACGTTTTCATATTGCTACACTGAGTTCATATTCTCTAACATTCAACAATACGCTCTGGTAGATGTAACATCTGATGTCAGTAAGGCAACGAGAGGAAAGAATTAAGAAGAAAAACAACAAAACACCAGTCATTAGCTTCATGACGTTGTGGAAATGTTCTTCAGTCATGATGGAAACCAATGGCTCAAACAGCTCAGTGCCCCAGTAACGAAAAATCTTTAGTGTCGGGAGACGGAGTCAAACATCTAGATGTGGTTGGAGGAAGTGTGCTTTCTATTTCAGATCCAGGACCATGGAAGCGGGGTTTTCCAGGTACGATCTCCACAGGTTGGAGAAACGACACATGGTGGCTCCGTCGATGATCCGGTGGTCGGCGGACCAGCTCACATTCATGATGTGCGCTTTCACTACCTCGCCCTTGTGGTTGAATCGGGGCAGCACCTGTGGAGAACGCAAAAAAAAAGATCATGCCACTTTAAAAATTGGGTACAGATTCCCCACAGCCAGTTTGAATCACATATATTTCCATTGTGCTTTAAAAACGCTTGACTGGAAAGAAAAGCAGCACTGAAAAAAAAAAAAAAGAAATTATATTTTGCTTCAAGAAAAGTAATATTTTTTAGGAATAGCAATATTTGAAAAAGTCAGTAATAATAATAATAATATTAATAATAATAATTCTACAAAATATAATTTCTTTTTTATTATAATTTTTTCGGGTGACATTTTCATGAGATGAACCCAGATTATTTTTAAATGTTATCCACTAACAAATATCACTTTTAAAAACCCTTGTGCAATGCCATTGGAGATTTTACAGTATGTGGAAAGTTAATTTACAAAAACATCACGGGTACGTTTTCATATTGCTACACTGAGTTCATATTCTCTAACATTCAACAATACGCTCTGGTAGATGTAACATCTGATGTCAGTAAGGCAACGAGAGGAAAGAATTAAGAAGAAAAACAACAAAACACCAGTCATTAGCTTCATGACGTTGTGGAAATGTTCTTCAGTCATGATGGAAACCAATGGCTCAAACAGCTCAGTGCCCCAGTAACGAAAAATCTTTAGTGTCGGGAGACGGAGTCAAACATCTAGATGTGGTTGGAGGAAGTGTGCTTTCTATTTCAGATCCAGGACCATGGAAGCGGGGTTTTCCAGGTACGATCTCCACAGGTTGGAGAAACGACACATGGTGGCTCCGTCGATGATCCGGTGGTCGGCGGACCAGCTCACATTCATGATGTGCGCTTTCACTACCTCGCCCTTGTGGTTGAATCGGGGCAGCACCTGTGGAGAACGCAAAAAAAAAGATCATGCCACTTTAAAAATTGGGCTCCGTTCTCAAATCTAGTGTGCTTCCTTGGTGCCTCTGTAGGCAGCATGCTAATTGAAGCATACTAACTGAAATAAAACCTAATAAGAAAGTTTGCAAAGTTCTATACAGGCAGGCATAAAAATTACACTGTTCGTAATCGATTCCAATTGAGTTTAGCATTAGCATGTTGCTAAGCCAACTGTACAATACCGTAGCATTCGTTAAATACATAACTATAACGCAAACAAATATTGTGTAAAATTAATTAGACTGAACTACTTTTATTAATATTGTACTAAGTAAATAATTATGTAAATTTGCCATATTGGCTTTGTAGGCCATTTTGTATTTTTTTTAATGGACCTTGTTGCAATGCATTATGGGATTGTCTAAGCACGCATGTGATTGTACCTTAAATCTTTTTTTCTTTTCTTTTTTAAAGCGGGTTGTGGAGTGTGCCTATGTTCACAAACGTCTACAAAGTACGAAAAGACGTTACGATGCTAGCATGGAAAATTGCATACTTAAGGATGTCGCAAACTAGTACGCTAGTATCGGAACATACTACATTAATGAAAAATTGTATCACTACATAGTGTAAAATTTGATCTCTGTTGCTAACAGTGGATAATTAGCAAACCTGTGGAAATTTGTTCTCCGACATATTATAATTTGCTATGCGCTAATCCTAATTTTGCACACTAGATAGTGCAATTTATATGTGACCCTGGGCCACAAAACCAGTCATAAGGTTAAAAATGTACATAAATTATCTGATACATTATCTGAAAGCTGAATAAATAAGCTTACCATTGATGTATGGTTTGTTAGGATAGGACAATATTTGGTCGAGATACAACTATTTGAAAATCTTGAATCTGAGGGGGCAAAAAATCTAAATATTGAGGAAATATTTCTTAGCAATGCATATTACTAATCAAAAATTAAATTTTAATATATTTACAGTAGGAAATTTACAAAATATCTTCATGGAACATGATCTTTACTTAATATCCTAATGATTTTTGGCATAAAAGAAAAATCTATAATTTTGACCCATACAATGTATTGTTTGGCTATTGCTACAAATATACCCCAGCGACTTAAGACTGGTTTTGTGGTCCAGGGTCACATATGTAAAATGAAATTTTAGCACAAAACTTTACACACCTGGATCTTCCCAAGAGCACCGATGGCAACCTCAGGCGGCAATATGACCGGCTTTGCATAGGTTCCTCCAATCTTTCAACAAAAACAATAACGTTAATGTAACGTCATTTCCATGCATAGCTATACAATTATTACTACATCACGGGAGCAAGCAAAGGTCAACCTGCAGTTCTCAACTTACCGATCCAATGTTTGAGAGCGTGAACGTTCCCCCCGTGAGGTCAGCGTTCCCCAACTGCCCTGCCGCTCCCAACGTCTGCAGGCGGTTGAGCTCCACGGCGAGTTCAAAGACGCTGAGCATCTGTACGTTCTTGACGTTGGGTACCAGAAGACCTTGATTGGTATCCATCGCCAGTCCAATGTTATGAGCAGCCTGGAGGACGACGACCATTTAATCTGAACCTCAATTTCATCTGAAATATCTTTATTATAGATGGAAACATACCTTATAGGTGATATTTGTGCAGTTTTCATCCAAAGAAGAGTTGAGAATGGGAAAATGGAGGAGACCAAGAGATGCTGCCTGTTTGTGAAGAAGATAGTTATATTAAAACCAGGTTTATTTGGAGTTTTTTAACCCCACAAATCACTTTCATACCTTGATGAAGAACGGCATGTAGCTGAGCTTCACTCCTCGCGACTCTGCCAGGCCTTTTAGCTCGGAGCGCAACTGGACCAGCTGGCTCAGATCCACTTCGTCTTTGAAACCAAAGTGAGGGATCTTCAGGGCTGCTGACATAGTCTTAACCATTGCCTTCTGAAAGCCTTTGTTTGGGAAAAAAAAATCTATAAAAATTGTGCATCAATTTAATGTTAGCATGTTGCTAAGCTAACTTCGCATTATTATAGTGTGCGATACAATACAAAAATATTGTGTCAAATTAACTACATTGAACTACTAAAATTAACCATGGTTTTATTATAGTAAAAATGTAGTAACCATGTTTTTTGGCATATTGATTACCATTTGTATAACCACAGTTTTACTACAAACACCATGGTTAAACTATAGTTAGTGCAGCAAAATTATGGTTCATTTGTGGTTTCTTGGTTTTATTTGTAGTAAAACCATGGTCAGAATGTATTATGTGATTTAGTAAGTGTGCAAGTGATTCTGTCTTAGAGCAAAATAAATACAGTTGAAAAAGTCTTAACTACTGCCCTCTTTATTTAAAAAAACAAAGGTCGTGCAAATTGTGCTGTTCAAAATTGATTTCAATTGAGTTTAATGTTAGCACATTGCTAAGCTAAACGCTGTAATGTGCATTAAAATACATGACACACAAAAATTGTGTAAAATTAACTAGTTAATTTATTAATATTTTACTTTACTGAGTGAATAATTTATGTAAAGCCGTCATATTGGCTTTGTCGATCATTCTGGATTTTATACGCTGAACTTGTCACAATGCATTATGGGACTGGCTAAGCATACACGTGATTCTGCCTTAGAGCCAAAGTTTACCGCTTACATAGTTTTAACCACTGCCTTCTGAAAGCCTTTGTAAGATAAAATGTAAATAGCGCTGTTCACAATAGACTTCAAGTGATTTTGAGTTTATCGCTAACGTGTTGCTAAGCTAACGTTAAAATGCATAACACAAATGAAAATTGTAAATGACCTATATTTAACTACTCTCATTAATATATTTCTGCACAGAGAGTACACTTACGTAAGATCATATCGGCTTTGATTACACTGACCTTGTCGCAATGCATTATGGGATTGGCTAACCATGCATTTGATTCTAGTCTTAACCATCACCTTCGGAAAAGCTTCGTTAAAATAAAAAACTTTAAATGTTTAAATTTCATAAAACATTTGAATTCTGCCTTAGAGCAAAAAGTTGCTGCGGACAAAATTTTACTCATCGCCTTCTGAAAAACTTTGTTAAAAGATTTTCATTCAACATTTCAGTGAGTGAATCAACTTACAAATCGAAACACACAAGCAAACAAACCTTTAATGGGTTCAGTGTGGTCTTTGCCTGTGAAAACGGGTTTAGGGATCGCAGGAGTGGGTACACTAGGTGGAGTCATCTTCTCTTTGGGCTTCGCAGCTGGAGCCGAAGGTGCTGCGGCCGCAGGAGGGGGAGGACGGATCTCCTGGAAGGGCGCTGGGGGTAAGATGGCCCCCGTCTGTCCGGCTATGAAGTTCAGGATGTCTTCTTTGAGAATGCGGCCATCTTTTCCAGTGCCGACGACTTCACTTAATTTAATCTGCGAAGAAATTTTTTTAATGCAGATGGATCATTTTTGTGAATTTCGTTATGGAGAAACAGCATAAAAATCCTTAGTAGATCCAATTTGCTACACACCTCAACCCTCCCCCTACTTGTGGCCATAGCAACGACTCTAATTTCTCCAACTATGTGATGCTGACAGGCTAGCCATTTATCTAACGCTCTTCAAAGAGGATGTATGACCGGCATCTATATAGAAACAAGGTACATCTCATGATCCTGATTTATAGAGCTACTGCACTGCCTAGCAACTCCCAGTGCTGTGCAAGAGTTCATGACCCCTGATGACAATAACTAAAGATCACCTCCAACCGCTGCTGATGCCACGCACTGTTTGATTTCTGCAGGCCCCCCTACCCTAACATCCTACGTTCAAATCGACTTTAAATGACCCTATAATGCTTTGGGAGAAATCAAATATTCAGTGGGAAATTATATATGGCAGCGCCTATAGAGATAGGGGCTTGATTTAATGCCTCAGGATTTGATTTATTTTCTTTTTTTCATTCATAATGTGATGTATTTCTGAGTTTCTGAGAAACCGAATAATAATAATAAAAATAGTAATATATACATATATTTTCCATTAAATATCCTGATCAATTGCATTGGATTATGAAAAAACCTTAAAGCTATGGTCTTCATGGAAGACACACAAATATATATATATTTTCATACATTATATAGATAATCATATTTTAATTTTATAATGTGATTTAGTTTTGTTACGGTCAACTAAAGCTACTATATACAGACATTTTTTTAATCTAATAACACTTACAAAGTATTTTTAAATAATACATATATTTTTCTTTTATGATTAAAAGTATTTCTGAGTTAAACATAATATTCAATGCAAAGGAAATGTTGAGGAAAAAACAACTATAATATAATTTATATGATTTAATATTATATATGGTTGTATTTTATTTTTATAATGTAATGTACACACTTTTAAAACTAAACTTAACCACAAATATTACAAATTATTTTGGTTATTTGAAATAAAGCTAAATTGACAAAATATAAATATTAGATGAGAAACTTAAATGTAAAATCTTACAAATTAATTGGCAAAATTGACTTGGCAACTTACTGAAACAAAATAAGTTTAAGCACAAAAATAACTCAAACTGAAATTAGAATTTCAGTTAAAAAAAGTAAATACAAATATTTTTAAAAGCAAAAACTAATAATAATGACAACAGCACATAACAAAATCACTAAAACTTAAACTAAAATCAAAACTGAAATTATAAAAAATAAAGCCAATTCAAAACATTAAT